AAGGAAAGGAAAGGAAAGGAAAGGAAAGGAAAGGAAAGGACCTACACCACCACCAAAACTAATTTTTTTTTAAAGGGATGGTTTTTGGTTTGCTTGTTGATTGATTTGTTTTCCTTAGCTGCTCATGTCGCTAGGTTCTCCGCATTTATGCTGGACATCCGAATCTGAGAGCTGCTCTTGCTCAGAATGGACAGTTGTGTCCCCCCGTTCACTCCGCTGCTCGCTAGAGAAGGATGACGATGTTTGAAATCCACAGCAAAATACCGGTTGACTTTCCAGCTCCTCCATTTTCTCTTTATTTCTGATTGCACCTTTAGGGAGAAACTTCAAAAGGTCATTTTTTATGTACTTAGCCGCTCGGGGACATGCTGACAAATTATCAAGTTTAGAAAAGAACCCCACAATTTGACAGAACAATTTTTAAGACTATTATTAAACTCCTCACTTCAGCAAAATCTGAAGTAACTTCTCCATGTCTGAAAGAGGTCCAGGCATGCAGTGGGAATAACAGTCTGGGTTCTGTGTCTGTGACTTCAGATACTTTAGGTTCAGCCCAGAGATGCATAGAAGACCTGCTCAACACTAACTCCAAAATGGTTCTTTAGCTAGCTTCTTGGAAAAGATATCCCGTTTTCATCAATGGTCAGTACCAAATACATTACAAGGAGTCAAAGAAACCAGCAGCCAAAAGGTACTAGACAATAATGAAATAACCTGACCACAAAGGCAGCTTGTCTCTCACTTGCCATTAATGGATGCATGTCTACTGAAAACTTCGGCTCCTGCCTTCAGAACACCTCTAAGCAGATGACAGCTCTTGGATTCGTATACATCTATGACAGCCTCCTTTCCCTTGAGCTTTTTTCATGGGCACCCACAGTAAATCATCAACAGTAAACCAATCCATGGTCAGAAGTCCAATTAGAAAGTAAGCAAATAATTCTATAGCTTTTCTACTTTTTTCTACTTTTCTACATCACCAAGTTCCTGGCAATGTTGATAGGTGTGCGTGTGTGTACATATATACACAAGGTAGTAAGGATTTAATATAAGATCGTAGTAGCTCAGACCAACTTCTACTCAGTCTATTGCCCATTCCTGACAGTAGCCTGTAGCATATTTCTGAATGAAATAGCATAAGAACAAGGAAATATGTAGAGATATTTTCTCAATATATTTTTCCAGTCTCCAATGAGCTGCTATGTCAAAGGTGTTCTTGTTTTTAATAGTCATTGCTAGATTTTCCTAGATTAGTACAATTGTCAAAATGGATCAGCATATGCCAAAATGCTAAACAAGTGCTTCGACTGTATGGACACTAACTACAGGGAGGAAAAGTCCAACTGGGAAACTTATATTCTCCTTCTAGTACCTCTAAATTTCTGTTTCGGTTAGAGTGTAGATAGGTATAGATTAGACAGAGTATGGGGGTATATTACATCTGTAAAAAGAAAATAGTGTTTGCATCTGTAACAGTGTAATATACCAAAGGTGAACCTTTTCTCACCCTAAGTAATTTACTGGAAGCACAAGCCATTCTTTAATGTCTTGATTAATTAAAATGGTTTTAATTAATCTCGTTGTGTTAGTTCAGCTAAGAACAGCTCCTGCCCCTCCAAGAGGTTACAGGAAATCTGACACACTGTGCATGTTACCTTGGAAGGCATTTATCTCCATATTAGTTTTAGACAAGACCTTCTGGTTATTTTTTTAGCACTCAGGGAAGATTATAGATGAAAGAACAGTTGTAGGTGGGAGAGGTGGATATCCAGTAATGCCAGCTGGTGAAGTGTGAATGCAGACACTAATGTCAGCAAGGCATGATCCAGAATTCACCTTCTGAGCTACATGGGACTGAGCCATGAATACTGTTTTAACATTTATCTATGATTCCTTTAATGGTCACCTTGACTAAGCCCATAAACAAAGATGACCTATAAGATTGTTTAATGAACTTGAAGAGGTTGCTATAGTGATCTGAGAAGGAATCACTTGGATCAAGGAGTTAAAAACCTTTTGTACTAGAGACCAGCTATTGCATGCTGTATGTGAACAAGCATAGAACACTGACTGCACTAAAACTAGTAGAAATAAATTGTCTCAGCCCCCTTGAAAAGAAAAAAAAATGTGATTTTAGGAGGTCTTCTCCTATTGGACTGCACAATAGATGTATATCAGTGGAGGAGAGAATGGATGAACTGTATATATTCCTCTTAAGGCAGCCTTGAGGAGGGAGTCATCTTCTATTAATTCAGAAAACTATTATCTCTGGTATTCAGTCTAATAAACAAAGGCAGGGCAATTTCAATTTGCAGATCAGAAATAAATGTGGGAAGCTGACGCCAGCAGCAGCAGCTGTTGCCATGTGTTGAGAGGAGTATGAGTCTTGCAGGGTACCCAAGGGGTATGTGAGCGGGTTTCTGGGCACCCAACACCCTTGGGCTGTGTGTGTGGAGGGACTCCTGGCAGGAGTCAGGTCTCACCAGGGGAGTGGGCAACAGTTGGGCGGTGCCAGCTGTTCCCATGGCCGGGTCAGACTGTGGGAAGCCACATATAACCAGGTCCTGGAGAGTGCCCGACCAGGAGTGCAAACAGGGAACAGCATCTGTTGGGAGCAGCATCAGCAACAGGTCACGGCATCTGTTGGGAGCGGCACCAGCAGTTTGTGTGACAGTTCATGCAGGAAGGGCTGCGCACTCTGCCAGTTGTTGGGCTGCTGCCTGTTCTGTTCACCTGCATGCTTAGGCTGCAGCCCTGGTGGTCACCTAAACTAGCTGGTGGCTGTGCAAGACTACCAAACAGCTTGAGTCCTCCATGGAAGTAGAAGGGTTTATTAGACAGTGCTTTGAGGTTTTTGGAAGCATGGTGGTAGAGACCAGACTCTGCAGCAGACAGGAATCAGCTACCTAGCTAGGCAAGGTTGGGAATAGTGGAGGCAGCCACCCAGACAGAGCTTCCTCTCAGGGAAGCTGCTGTTCAGGTGAAGGGATGCAAAGACTGGGTGGAGGAGGGTGGAAGCTCCACCTGCTCAAGGTGGACTGTGGTGGAATCATTCAGACAGCAGGTGGAGGAGCTGCTGGAGGAAGTTACCAAGTTATGCTGTGTTAGGGAGGGTGAACAAGAAATAAAGTATTATTTGAGACTTTGCAAGAAATATTAGGGCCCTGTGACACTGACCTCCAAGGACTACCAGACAAAGAGCTTCAACAGACAACAGATAGCACCTTGGAGAAGGAGGTGTCATGGTCTCAGACTCTGCTGAGAAGCACCCATCTGCCAACCTGATATACAGTCAAGTGAAATTGTCTGCTTGTGAGGAGCCAAGATCCTGGATGTCACAGAGAGATTGCCACAACTAGTTAAAAGCACAGACTACTATACTCTACTTCTTTTCCATGTAGGCACCAATGACATGGTAAAGCAAAACCTGGGCAAGATCAAGCAGGACTTCAGAGCCCTGGAGGCACAAGTGAAAGGGACAGATGCCCAAGTGATCTCCTCTGTCTTGCCAGTCAGATATAAGGGTGCAGGTAGGAGTCAAGCCATCATGCAGATCTATACCTGCCTTCATGACTGATGTCATTGCCAGGGTTTTGTTTTCTACAATCATAGGACATTCTTCAATTAATGCAGCCTACTGGGGAGAGATGGGATACACCTACCTAGAAGAGGCAGGAGAATCTTCACTAGCAGATTATCTGACTTAAGTGAATTGTGCTTTAAACTAATGAACTTGGGGGGTAGTGTCCAAAGCTGTGACATCTACTTATTTATAAGTAGCAGGTTGGATGAGTTCACCTACCAGAGTAGTGAGGAATGCTCCCCCAACCTTCTCCAAAAGCAAGAACCCTAAGTCCAGTCACCTGAAGTTTGTGTATACCAATGCGTGTAGTCTGGGCAGCAAACAGGAGAAACTGGAGCTCCATGCCCAGTGAGAGAGTTGTGATATTACAGAAAACACAGAGACTTGGTGGGAAAACTCACATGACTGGAAGACCACAACGGATGGCTACAAACTGTTTTGGGAAGATAGGAAGGGAAGAGGAGGTGGAGTTGCACTTTATGTTAAACAGAAATTTGAGTATATGGAGGTGAGTTATGAGACCACGAAAGTTCTATTAAATGCCTTTGGATCAAGATTAAAGGAATTGTCACCAAGGGAGATCTTTTGTTAGGTATCTGTTACCAACCTCCCAATCAGGATGACAAGGCTGACAAAACCATACTTCAGGTGCTTAAGGAAGTCTCAGGCCAACAGAACCAGGTTCTCATGGGTTACTTAAATTACCCAGACCTTTATTGGGAAAACAACAGTGGTACACAAGTCCTCCGTCTTGAGTGTATTGAGGATTGCTTCCTGCTACAGATGCTGGACATGCCAGCTAGGAACAGCGCATTGCTAGATTTACTGCTCACAAACCAAGAAGACTTACTTGACAACACAATTACCAATGGTAGCCTTAGATACAGTGATCATAACTTTGTGCAGTGTAAGGTACTGCTGAGCACACTGAAGACCAGTAGCAGGACAAAGACCCTGGATTTTAGAAGAGCCAATTTCAATATGCTCAGAGCCCAGCTGCAAGGGATTCCATGGAAAGCATCCATGGAGGTCAAAGAAGCTTGTGAGCACTGGGAAGAAGGCTCAAGAACAGCCACCTGGGAGCACAAGAACAGTCCATCCCCTACAAAGGGAAAGGAAGAACACAGAACAAGAGACCAGCTGTCTTAACAATGAGCAAAAAAGGAAGCATACCAGCTATGGAAAGGCAACCAAATACCCATCAAGGACTTCAAGAACCTTGATAGAGCATGCAGAGATGCTGTCAGGAAGGCTAAGGCTCAGCTAGAACTGAAAATGGCCAAAAAAATCAAGAACAACAAGAAAAGGTTATTTAGATACGTGAGCAGTAAGCAGAAGCACAGGGAAGACATAGGCCTATTGCTAAACAGCACAGGGAAACTAGGCACTAATAATGCTGACAAGGCAGAGGTTCTCAATACCTTCTTTGCCTCTGTTTTTACTGGTGCAGCTGGACCCCAGGTCAAAGGATCAAGTAGCTACAACGACACGTGCCAACTTAACCGGTAATGGGGGAAGGTCTGGTCTGTGGTCTCTTGCAGGGACTCAACACACATGAATCTACGGAACCAGATGGAATCCACCCCAAGGTGTTAAGAGAAGTGTCTGACATTGTTTCAAGGCCACTGTCTACAATATTTGAAAAGTCATGGAGATCAGGAAGAGGGCAAATGTCATACCCATCTACAAGAAGGTCCCAAAAGAGGCTCTATTCTATTCTATTCTATTCTATTCTATTCTATTCTATTCTATTCTATTCTATTCTATTCTATTCAATTCTATTCTATTCTATTCTATTCTATTCTATTCTATTCTATTCCATTCCATTCCATTCCACTCTATTCTACTCTATTCTACTCTATTCTACAGAGGACCCAGGAAACTAGAGGTCCATTAGTCTTACTTCAGTCCCTGGGAAAATAATGAAACAAGACCTAGAAACTGAGAAATCAAATGAAGCAGGTGATTGGGAAAAGCCAGCAAGGATTTACCAAAAGCAAAGCATGCTAGACTAACCTGATCATCTTCTACAACAAAATGTTTTCTGTTGACATGAAGAGAGCAGTAGATGTTGTTTACCTGGATTTCAGCAAAGCATTTGACACTGTTTCCCATCGTTTTCCTAGACAAACTGGCAAGATAAGATTGGGTGGGTGGTCTGCAAGATGGGTGGGAAATTGGCTAACAGGCCACACTCAGAGGGTGGTGAACAATGTTTTTTACTCAGACTGGCAGCCTGTCACTTGTAGGGTCCTCCCGGGATTGATACTGGACTCCGAACTGTTCAACATCTTCATAAATGATCTGGATTATGGGACTGAAAGCACCCTCACCAGGTTGGTTGATGACACCAGTCTAGGTGGTGAGGTGGATATGTCAGAAGTGAGAGCCACCTTACAGAGAGAACTGAACAGGATGGAAGAGTGGGCTAGCAAGAACTGTATGAAGTTTAACAAAGACAAGTGCAAAGTTCTGCACCTGGGATGACATAAACAAAGAGCCCAATACATTCCCTACTTCTGTTAGGGAGCATTAATCTGAGCCATCAGCTTTGGCAGGGACAATGTTTCGGTTTAATAAAGACATCACACATCCTCTTTCTTTTGCTGAGACAATGTGAGATTCAGCCTAAGGTGTTAGGGAATATGGTAGATGATGAGTTACAGTGAAGGATTAGAACAGCAGTTACTCCCACAAGGAAATGGGATGGGGATGGTGGGTGGGGGAGGTTAAATATTAAAAGTCTTACCTCCCCATTCAAGAAACAATAGAGAACAGCAACAACAAAACCCTAGGTAAATGGGAGAGAAAAAAATAATATAATTCAAATCCTTCAGTAAATCCTAGAAAATAGCTGAAGTTAAAACAAACAAATAAAAACAAAATCCTTGTATACAAAACATATACATAAATAAACACACAGTCAGAGAACTGTGCATGCAAAGTAGTTATAATGAATAGAGATTTCTTTTAACAAAAGCAGCATTCACTGTATAATCACCTGGAAAGATCCCAGTCCCAATTCAAACACTAGTCTCTCCCGCTTACTGACATTTTCAGGAGAAAAAGCAAACACCGTGTAGTGAATTCCAAACAAGGGGATAAGCAGTAGTGTAGAGCGAGCCAGCCTCCTGTTATAATAGAGTGAAAGAACTTTAATGCAGACTTGTAATAAACAATTTGTGCTTTAATTAAACAAGAAAACACAGAAAATATTTTGTTGCCTTCCTTGTGGGAAATACATACACTGTATAATTATACAAACAAATATACAACATTCCCATTTGTTCCCAAACAGTGATTTCACACACACTGTAGTTTGCTCCCACTTCTTCACACTGCTACAATAATAGCACATTAGTAATGCTTAATAGTCTGTACTGTTATTTTAATTTGCATTATTATAAGCAGGGATTTTTTCTACCGTGCCAAACATGAGGAAGGTAATCTTGCTAAGGGATTCAGACTGCTACCATAACACAATAATAAACCTCTCACCCAATTGCTTAATCCCAGTGCTGTGTTTAAAATCACTTTGTGTGTGTGTGTGTGTGTGAATTTATTTCTGCATAGCAAAAAATTCCAAACCAGCAATACAAATAAAGCTAAAACCCCCCTGTATGTTCTTATACTCATGACTATTCTTCAAGGTCTTGAGTTTGGTCTCATTTATAGTGTTGGAAACCTGAGTGTAATTCCATGGTGTAACTAATTTCCATTGCATAAGAACAAAGAGGTTTTAGAGAGAAGTCAAACTCAGTAAGTATAAACAAAAGGGCTGGAAATGAATGTGTGTACCTGTAAGCAATTAACTGAGTATAGGTGAAATTCCCCAAAAACAGGGTCCAGCCAAGACTTATGCACCAGTTTTGGTCAGCGTTATTTGCTGATTGAGCAGCAAAAAAGACCCAAGAGAAAGCAAATGTTGATCAGAAAATAAGGCAAGTGCTTTATTATAAATGAAGTGGCTTAAAGTAACCTCCAGGACATTTTCAAAGGGGAAAAAATATGATTGATTTCCTTCAAGTAAGTTAAGGAGGTAGATGGGGGATGAAAGAAACTAAAAAGCCATAAAGATTTTTGGAAGAGCTGCATACTTTTTCAAATTCAAATGTTCACTCTGCTTATATCTATATGGCATATTGCAGACATGTTTGAATTTGCTAATACATGCTCAACAATATCCCCAAAATGATGTGTTTGTCTTACTGAAAGTGACGACTTAATACTTTTCCAAGTACCCTGTGAACATATGCTGTTATATCCAATACTAAACTGCAAATGGGACAGCAGTTCTTTGCTGGTGTCCCTCAGCCATACTTTGTGCACTAATGGTGACAAATACACCACAACCCTTGCCTTGAGGTTGCACTAAACACACATGATTCATTAGCCTGATGCGCACCAAATCTCCAGTCTTGGTGAAAGACCCTACAAACCAGAGGACACAGTTCTTGTGAATTGTCAAGTTAGACATTGACCAAAAGCTTTTTAACAGGAGAGGAACAACCTTGGAACAGGTTGATGAAGAGCATACAGAGTCTCCAACTTCAGTGATATCTAGAAAAAGTAAGCAATAGAGGAGTGACCCAGTGTAATGGACTAAAAGACCTTTCAATGTCCCTTCCAGTCCTTTGTCTCTATGGACATGTAATCACATTAATTAAAAGGAACAGAAACATTGTGGAAAAGATTGTAGAATAATACTATCTCCATAACAAAAAAGGATGTAAAGAACATAAGTGTCTTAACCTAGACATGGAAGACAAAAAAAAAAAAAATCAAATGAAGGTAGTAAACTGGATGAAGAAGTATCATCTCTCAAAATCTGTTACCTTTTATATTCAGAATTAATGACAACAACAACAAAAGGATAAATGTTATTTTGATTTAAAAGTCAGACTAGAATTGTCTATTAGTATGTTGTATCTCACTGTAGTCATAGGAGATTAATTTTGGGAAAGATGTGGAGGAAACCTTTTTCTATTGTCTGTTTTCTGGCATTAATTATATCTGATTAATCATACAATTAGTTTGTAGGGTCTTGAAATATAATGTCATCATCAACTTATTTGAGATACTGTCTTCAATATTGTCATAAAAGTCAGGAAGAAAATACATGAAATGTAAGAAGTAACAAATTCTGAAGTTTATAGATGATTAAGGTCTGTAAAGAGGAAAAAAGATTTTAATTATAAGAAAAACACAAGAGATTACTAATGACTGTGTGGATGATGATAAATTGTGTTTTTTCAAGAGCATTAGGAATAAAGAAGTCTTAAAGCAGCACCTGTGAGACGTAAGTTTATGTGCCATGGTGAAATGAAGATGTTAAAGAATACAGCAAAATTCTCAGGAGTGTAACAGCCGAAGATATTCATCCTCTTTT